TCTCTTCTTTCGACAGTTCCCCCGCTGCCCCCTCCCTTCTGTTGCCTCTTTCCCCATTATGCCTCTGCTGCACCCCTTCCTGTCTCCCCTCCACCATCCCACCTTCCTTATGCCTCTTCTGTCCTCGTTCCACCCCTCGTTGCACCCTGTGCACCCCCTCTACCTCCCCATTTCACCCCAGTTACATTGCTATTGCACCCCTCTAATCTCCTTATTTCCCCTTGTACCTCTCATTGCACCCTGTAGCACCCCCTCACCCGTTGCACCCCAGTTACACCACTCTGTACACAGCCGTTCCCTTTCTCACGTGCCCACCCCGTGCCCCCAGCCCCATTCAGCCATTCCCGGTCCCTCCCCAGGGGACCACCAGCCCATGGGTGTCGGAGGCACGATCACTTTCTGGGGCTGCAGAAAGGCCCCAGGGACTTGTGGCAGCACAGAACCCGGCGCTGGATTCTCCCGGAAAAACGTTGAGGCTGGGGGGGGCACTGGGATGTCGAGGTATTTTGTCTTTTAACATCTCTGATATTTTTTCCCCCCAAGGCTACCACGGCCCCCCGCATCCCGCCCACGCGGCTGGCCCTGCACCACTTCGACGTGAGCTACAGCCTGCAGCTGAAAGACCTGTGGCCTTCTGTCCGCGCCGGCCTGCTCTGCGAGCAGAAGTACGGTGCGCTTCTCAACAACTTCTCTCCTGTTGACCACGTCATGCAAGAGCTGGAGCTGCTGAATGCCACCGATTTTGTTTCCGAAGCCCCCAAAAAGGTGCAGCGATCGCAGCGGGGTGCGGAGGAAGCGGGGAGAGGGGAAAGCGCGTCCCAGGAGGAGTCTGGCGAGGGCAGGACAGTGATACAGGCAGAGGTGTCACCACCGCTTCGTGCCTCCCTCAGCTCCAACATCAAGTGTTACACCTTCCCCAGGGGCGACATCACGCGCTTTCGCCCTGCACGGTGAGCCATGCCTGGGACAGGTCGCCCGCTGTCCTTGCCAGCCTCGGGGGCTGCACGTGTGTGAGCACCCACTGCTTCTGTACGTCCCCATCCTCACTTCCAACGGCTGTTTTCTTTTCCCCTCGCACGTTTGCTTTTTTTACGCAAACTTGTGATTTCCAGGCCGGACGCTCTGGGGCTCCTCGACTATTATCTCATGGACGCAGCATCTCTCCTGCCTGTCCTGGCACTCAACGTGCAGCCGGATGAATTTGTCCTTGACCTCTGTGCGGCTCCGGGTGGCAAGACTCTGGCTCTGCTGCAGACTGGGGTTTGTGGTAAGTGGAGGTGGGTGTTCCATGTCCCCGTGCAAAAAACAGGGCTGGAAGAGTGTGTCCCCATTAATGTCTGACCGTTAATCATTTCTGGTTATAAGAGCTGGGAATCAATTGTGTTTTTGCAAGAGTGACGTTGCCAGTGTGCCCGTTTTGTCCTCTCAGGGCATCTGGCAGCCAACGACGTCTCCATTTCCCGGACAAAGAGGCTGTACCAGATTCTCCATAGCTACGTTCCCAAAGAAATCAGGGAAACTGTGAGTGTCACGTCCTGCGACGGAAGGGACTGGGGGCAGCTGGAAGGTGGCACTTTCCATAAGGTAGGTGGTGGGGAACCAGTGAAGATAAACCCATCTAGTTCACTTTCCTCCTGTTTCAGAGGAAGACAGCAGCTTATCCTACTGTATAATTGTATAGTTTTCCATAATCTCAAATGCAGAGAAAGAGAGAAGACTAAGCCACGTATGGAATAATATTTCCTCCTGCTTTACCCTTCCTGCAGGATCTGGTGCATATGGGCATCCGGAGTTGTACCTTTATTTACCTCTGTAATGCCCCTTAAAAATCCTGTTCTAATCCATCACCTGGAAGGGGTTAAATGTGAAGATTAGATAGTTCTTATTTCTCAGCCATGCCCAGCCGCGGGAGCTGGGTTCGTTACTCCGGGAGGCGTCGCTGCAGGAGCTCTGGCCGTGCGTGGTTGCAGCCATAGGTGCTGCAGTAACGCCTACTAGGAAGATGCACAGAGTAGAAACATTAAATGAGGACACGTGTGAGAGCGTGATGTTATCTGTCATTTCTGTGTCTGCACATTCCCGAAACGCAAAAGCAGCCAGATGAGTTACAGTTCAGCGTGGGTGCACGCCTGCGCTCGGGCAGCATCAGCTAGGCAAGGTACCGAGAGCTGCTTGGTGCGTGGCAAGGGTGGGAGCTGGGCAAGGGGCAGGCTGCACTGGGAGACTCGCTGAGCTTGTCCTGGGCCCAGGACTGATGCAGGACCTCTGCTGCTGCAGGTCCTGGTGGATGTGCCCTGCACGACGGACAGGCACTCTGTCATGGAGGAGGACAACAACATCTTCCACAAGAGACGAACCAAGGAGCGTCAGATGTTGCCCATGCTGCAGCTGCAGCTGCTGATGTGAGGGAGCTCGATGCTGTGTTTTGGTGCTATTTGTGTTACGGTAGCAGCTCTCCATGGCCAGCACTGAAACCTCTTCTTACTTTGTGTGTCTCTGACTGGGAAATGTGGAAACCATGTGTAGTTTTCTGGAATGGCAATAGTTGGACACATCAAATCATAATAAGTGTAAGGAGGCGCAGATGTTCTCGGTCAGATCAGATGTCCTTCCTGTCCCCAGCCATAGGAGGTAGGGAGGAGGGTCTAAGGAACAGGATGGGTACAGTGTTGTCCTTTTGTGTTGATGATCTCCCGGGTCCCGGCAGTCAGCCCTGGAGGATTTCCTGGGTGTCCACATCTCCCAGCACGTGGGAGGACATGGGGGTGCTTTGTTGGGCCGTTTCGCTGGGAAGGCTGGATGGGCTGACTGCGAGCTGGGGCAATAAGGAAACAGATTAGAGAGTCCCATGGCAGTGCTTGAAATGCAAGAGCCTCTTCCCGATCCGTACTTTTACCCCATTTCCTTGGAGGTGAGTGCAGGATTACTCCTTCCAGCTGCTCTCCAGTAGCGTCTCTCCCATGTTAAGTACTTTATCAGTCTAAGAATCTATTTGACCCATATTGCCCTGATTTAAAACAGTCCTCACGTTGCAGTGAGACTGCTGAGCCTGTGGAGTTCAAGGAGATTTGTCTCTCACCTCGTATGAGTTACGTGGGGGTGACTGGGAATGCTGGTGTCCCACAGAGTCTTCTTCCCGTGACGGCGCGTGTGTTCATCTTGCCTGCAGGGCTGGGATCCTCGCTACCAAGCCGGGAGGAGAGGTGGTGTATTCTACGTGCTCCCTCTCCCCGCTGCAGAATGAGTGTGTGATCGAGAGGGCGGTAGAAATTGCAGAGACCCAGTTTAACATCAGTATCCACGTTGAGGACTTGAGCCACTTTCGGACGCTTTCTCGGATTGCCGGCTGGGGGAGCTTGTTCTGCCTCACCTCACAGCCAACTTCGGACCTATGTATTTCTGCAAATTACGTCGGATGTAGGAGGGGTGACAGACTATGTCTGGCTATCAGGAAATACCCCAAATTTCCAGGGAAAGCAAGACTGCTTTATATTTATTTTTCTTTTTAAAATGTCCCAAAGAAAGTCTGCTTTTTTATTGCAAACGTAGAGAATAAATAAGAAGGACCTGCTGTGGAGTCTCCTGAATATTTATCTGTTTGAGACTGAGGTGTTTAATCTAGGAAAGAGAGAGAGAGGTCTTATCAGAGGGACTGAGTTATCCATCTGTCCTGGGACAGGGTAAATGGCCTGTGTGGATGCTGCTCTCCCTCCTGTCTGACTGCTTTGATCCTACATGAGCAGGTTTGGGTTATCAAACACCATCTGGGGATCTCAGCCTTTCTGTTCCAGATCTCACTATCTGCATAATCGGGTTGCATCTGTCTCTGCTTATCTCCTACCTTCAGAAAGAGCAGCCTGAGGTCCTGAAATAAGGGGTTCCTAAGAATGCCCGTGCTGTGAGGTTGGAAATGTGCTTGAGATGCTTGAGATCTGGTGGTGGAAAGAGGTTGGTGCTGTGGAAGGGCTGTTGCCATCCCTCACGGACAGGAAAACTGTGGTTGGGAGGGAAGGTGTGAACCTTCCCATGCTAGATGCCATTTAATGTCCAGTGGGAAGGTGTGTGTATGATTTTGAGTAATAATTGTGCATTCATATAATCATAGCCATCAGTGAAGGATTACTGGGCTTGTGATAAGAGTTGCTTAATAGCTACATTTTTATTTTTGTGAGCAAAATACAGTGATGGGGAGGGTAGACATGGCTGTATTCCTTACAGGGCAGCCCATAGTTACATCCATATGAAGTTACTCCGGTGCCAGCAAGAAAGTACGATTGAGCTGTTGTAATCCTTTTCTCTCAGCATCGCCCTGCTTCCGCAAGAGGCAGCATAGATGAAAATGAGGGTGAACCCCCATCCGTGTCCATCCTTCCAGGAAGGTGCAGTTCATGCATTTATCATCATTTGAGCCCAGCACAAGCCAGTCCTGCCCTCTGCGTGGCATCTTGGTTCGTTACAGGATCCGTGCTTATCGGCAAGGAGGCGGGTCAGGAAATGGCTTTTCCTTCCTCCTTCCCTCCTCGCCGTAACCTCTCCACCGCCGATTGCAAAAGAGAAGTTGTGCAGCGCTGTCCCTTCGGCCTCGCCTCTGGCCCTGCAGGCGTGGGACCGCGGAGGCTATGCCGCTGTCTTCTCACGGCTGAGGGTCTCCACCTCCTTCATCAACCGGAGGCACAGCTCCTCCCGCCACGGCAAGGCCACGCACTGCACGGCCACGGGCAGCCCCACGGCTCCTGCCACCGCCTGCAGCGGGGGCACAAGCAGTGAGGGGTTACCCGGGGGGCTCAGCAGCTTTTGGAAACTTGGTTTAGGCATGTGGCTCGTCCCCGAGAGCGGGGAGGTTGGAGGCTGAGCCCTGTCATTCAAGCAGCATTAGCGCGCTGGGGCAGAGGGAAGGCTGTTGCTGTTCTCATGATAGAAATGGTTGCCCCATCTTGGGCAGCGTGTTTAAGATACCCCCTCTGCTTTGAGCTGTCTTGCAGCCAGAACCCTTTTCCTTCAGCATCCTCATTCCTGATCCATGCTCCGCTGACAGCCTGGGCCTGGTGCAGGCGTCACGGAGCAGGAGGAAAGTGCAGCGCAGTGCTGTGGGCTGTGGCTGTCACAAGGACCTAGTCAAAGAAGCCTTGCTATATGGCTCCTTTCTGGTTTCAGCCTATTATCCAGCCTGGGAGTGCTCCCCCAGTTCCCCAAAGCTTAGTGACTTACGTTTTTTGGGGCTTGGGAGAAAAGGGATTTGCAAGGAGTATATAAAGAAGAGGTGAATTTTTTTTTTTCACTGTGCCCATATAGATGGAGACATTTAGGAGCCCCTGTTCAGTGAAACTATTACTTGAACATCCATCAGCAGTCTCTGCTCCACCACTTTCCATGTTGCATACCTCTTTCAGCGTCCGGTCCCAGGGGTCATCACAGCATCCTTGGTAAAGCTTTAGCTCTTCCTCATCGGCTTCTGTCACCGTGCTGACGGGTACAACCCCAGCAGGGAAGTTCAAGACATTGTACAACATCGTGGAGGAGATGGCAGCTGAGAGAAGCAGAAGAGAATGCAGGTAGTCACAGCCTCCTCTCTTCCTTAAAACTTACACATTACATGTTCACTGCAGTCCCTGAGAACCAGCTGCTGCTGGGAGGAGAGATTGCACAGAGCTGGTGACGTGCAGGTCCAAGTTCTACTGCAAGAAAGAACTGCCATCAGATGACTTCATCCATGTGTCTGTCTCCATCTGCTCAGATAGCTTTATGGTAGTTATTTTTTCTTCCTAATGCCCATAAAATGCTTAGGTGGACGGTGAAGCTCCATGATAGGGGATGTTTCTGTCCAATCTCAACCACTGTGACCGGGAAGGTCCCAGACTCACTTACTGAGGAGTTTCCCGGGGTATCCCATGGTGAAGGCAGGCCCCAGGACAGGGCACAGCACAGCGTCCAGCCGGAGTTCCCTCCACCGGGCGATGAACTCGGTGCGGTACACCTTGGGGAAGAGAGGAGAGATGACACGGAGGCCGCATCCATACCGGGAGCATCTCAGCTTCTCCAGGGCATGCACCGGGCTCTGGCATGGCCAAGGAGGCAGCAGCAGGCAGCTGTGCTCGAGGGAAGCAGCAGGGCAGCGTGTAAGTGTCTGCCTCCACAGCATGTGGCCAGACTGTGGCCAGGAAAGGTCCCTCTTTAGCCGTCCCTACTCCCAGGAGAGCCTTCATTGTGCTGGGACCGTCAAACGTGGGCATTTGGGCATGAGCACTGTGGGCAACCAATAAAGTCTTGGCTGGGTTGACCCAAAAGCCCATCTACCCCATTCCTATGTCTCTTTTGTGCCTTTTCCTCCGTCTCGTCTCCTCCCTGCACCCCCCTGCACAACCCCTTTCCTGACTGATGACCCTCCGACCCGGCACTTGCCATAAAGCCTCAACTTGTAGCATGATGCCAGAGAGAAAAGTCCTCGAAACATACCTGTATTTGATGGTGATGATTCCACATCTCCTTCACTGACCTGCAAGTGGAAAGCGTAGCAACATTTTTAAGCTGTAAGAGGACGAGGAATTGCTTAAATAATCCTCCAGGTTGATAAGCGCTGGTGAGTTTAGCGATTACTTAATACATCTTTCACAATTTGTCTGAAGTTTCCTTTGGCATTTGGCCAAGCAATTAAGCAACAAATGTCTAGAAATACTAGAGAGAAGGTTTCTCTTGTGAGCCGGGATTTAGTACTCATCTCCGCCCCAGGCTTCCTGTATGACCTTATCCATCCAAGTCCCTCAATCCTTTCAGGATAACACTAGGGGCAGTGCAACACTGGGGAGATGTCTTCCGAAAGGCTGAAGCCATGTCCAGGATGGAGGGACAGCCCCTGCAGAGAGCAGGTCAGAGCCTGTCGTGAATCCAGTCCCTCCCCCCCCCAGACACTTAGAGGAGAAGGTACCGTTCATTTTCATGGACATCCCTGGGGACGATGCCTTCTTACCTCATTCCACCCAAGGCACTCAGAAAGTCAGCCAGGCGGGGAAACTGGAAAGGCAAGAGGTTCCTGTTAGGGACATGCCATGGGAGTGCAGTAACTTGTGCCATCCCGGGAAACCCGCGGTCCCGTCCTGCCTCCGTCCCTGGGGATGCTGCACTGAGGGTGAATGATGATGATTAAAAATGCTCCTCGTGGTTCTGATTTTACTTTGCTTCCAACTTCTGGTTGTTGGTTCCCAGTTTGTTTCTTACAACCCAATATTTCCTGCTCACAGAGGAATGCAGTGACTTGAACCAAGTCGCCTTTTATTATTTTTGATAAATCAAGTATTTTTTCATTTGGTATCTCACAGAAACAAGACCTCTGCAAGCACTTCGATTGCCTCCCACTCACTGCCTCCTTTTTGATCCTGTCAGCTGAGAACAACCCAACTGGACAGAGAGGCAGAGAAAATGGAGGATGGAGGAGAGAAGCCCTACAAATGATGCTCACCTGGTGAAAGGGCTACAGTGAGGACCAGCCCTTATTAATCACCAGAAGCCCCCATGAAGATGTGATCTTTGGGAGGCCTCCAACATAGGGAGAGAGCTTCAAACTTGAGTCCCCCTGGTGCAGTAATCCCAATGCATGAATCTGTAGGAAACTGGGCACCACTAGGTCTAGCATTTGAAGAACCACTTGCTGAGGGCTCTGCATTATTCTTTTACAGCCCTTGGCTGGTCCTTCTCTCATGTCGCTTTGCACTGGATAAATCCCAGCAAGGATCTAGAAAAGACCTTCCATTGTGGTAGCACGTGCCTTGGCCTGAAATCCCAGTGTTTCTAGTTAAAGGTGCCTCTCAGTACCATCACGCTTTCAAGCATCTCAAGGCTTTGCTGACACCCCTCTGCTTTGAGCCTGAGGCCAGGGACTCACCAGAGGTTTAAGAATCAGAGCCAGCAGCTTCTTCCCCAGCCTTGGGATCTTGCAGCAATTCACCTGTGGTTTCAAGCTTGGATCTACAATATCTCCTGTGCTGAGAGATGACAAGAGGAGGGGATCACGCCAGAGAAGCTGTTTGCCCTTTCTCAGAAACCTGAGTATCTCCTGTTTGGGGTGGGAGAGATGGGCTTGTTTCGCCTGTGCGTTGTGCTTGTGGGCGTGGGGATGGAGGTGTTTTACAGCATTGCTGCCAGAGAGCTCCTACTTACAACACGTCCAACCAAGCACGGCCTCCATCAGCAAAAAAAGTCTTCAAAAAGAGTTCAGTCATGACATAGGGGATCCGAGGTGGAGAAAAGGGCACCAGCTGCAGCAAAACACAAAATTATGTGGCAGCCTGGGGATGTGAATAATTACCAGGGTCTGGCTGTGGATATACTTCAAAAGCGCAGTAGCACCTCCCTGGGCTCCACACGCCAACGGAGGCCCCAGTTCAACCCTTTATCAGCCCAGGCATCTCCCCATGGGATTATTCCTCC